TACAAACTAGATATATATTTGTTTTTGTTTTTTTGAGAGATCTCAGTGTATATATATATATATATACAGTAGTGTATATATACAGTAGTGTATATCAGAACAGTTTCAAGGGCCCATACTGACATCATAGCTCCAATCCCCTTAGATCTTGTTTTGGACTCTCAGTGCTTACTTACTGGTAACAGGTTTTATAGTAGCAAATGGGTGGATGGACTGCAATTGTACAACTGGATCTGGAGAAGGCTTTAAGTCAGAACCAAACACTAACTTTAGTCTGTGCCTACTAAGTACTTATTACTACTTCAGTCCATGCCTCTTGCACTCACTATACATTGTCTCAGGCACAGACTTGGTAAGCTGATCCTAGCCAAAATGAGTGAAAACAATATGTCCCTGGAAAGCTTCTTTGAACAGAGAAAAATACTCATTAATGAGACAGCAGAAGACTCCTAAACATACCTATAAAAGGAAATCCACATTTAAATGAAAATGACAAGAGTCTGATTTATATCATGGGTTCATTGCAATAGGTGATTCACATTCTCCAAGCCCACTTTGCATAATATGTGGTGATCAGCATCCAAAGAAGCACCGAAACCTTCAAAAGTGGCTTCCCACATGCAGACCAACCACCCTGTACTGTAAAACAAAACTTTTGAGTTTTTCAAAAGAAAATAAAATGAACACAAACAGCAGAAGCAATAATTGAAGGCCACCACTTCATCAAATGTGTGCACTGAGAGCATTCTTCTTAGCTGTTAACCACTTTGCTCAAGCTAAGAAACCCTTTACTTTGGGGGAAGACAGTCCTACTTACTGCTAAGGACATTTGCCATGAACTTTCAGGAGAGGCTACAATTCAAAAAGTTTTACATGCTCACCTTTGTGCCAGTACCATAAATGGAGAAATAGTAGAGAAGCTGTTGATGGAGAGGGTTATTAAATCACTGTGATGTGCAATTCAGGTTGACTAGTCAATTGCTGGTGACAGCAAAGGGGAAATGCTTGCATTTGTGCTGTATATTTTCAAGAGGACATACTTTGTCAACCAACACCACATCTGTATCTATTCAATTCTTTGCTTACACGTCAGGAGAACTGAATTGGGTTTTTTTGTGCCAGTATACACGTGCATGGAGTAGCTGCTTTGGAAAACTTTCTAGTCTCTCCGCTAATATCAAAAGGGTTACTTCTACATGTGAGTCTTCATATTGGGTCATCTGTAGAGAAATGCTGCCTCATTGAAAATTATCACCTGAACGAAACAGTGTTTTGCATGATATGATTACAATTATTAATTGCATTAAAGTGCATTTCCTTAGCTCACATTTATTCATGCAGCTGTGAGGAGATGAATACAAAGACACACATCTCCTCATATACACAGAAGTGACACAGGTATCTAAGTTTAGATTATTGGCCAGAGTTTTTGAGTTATGGGAGTTCTCTCAAAGATTTATTTTAGAAAATTAGTTAGCACTAGCTGCACATTTCAGTAATAGCATGGTTTGCAAAACTTGCTTGCTTGTGTTACATATTCAACCTATACAACAAACTCAATTGGTCATTTCAAGGTACAGTGACAACTATATACAACTTAGCAGATAAAGTGGCTGCATTCATGACAAGCAGGAATTACTGGGGTGACAAGTGAACATTGAGATTTCTGATATGTTTCAAGCATATTTTGAGACCAAGTCTTCTTTTTCCCAGCTGATAAATGATCATCAATCTCAGGTTTCAAAGGAATTTGAGCATTTCTTCTCAACCACAAAAGACCTCCAAACTGGAAAGGAATAAATCTATGATGCATTTGTAAATAAGCCAGGCGAACAAACTATTTGTGCTGGAGAAGTATCAATTACTGGAGATCACAAGTGATGGGGACTTTAATGTATATTTGAGAGGACTTCTAGTGTTTAAGTCAAGGCAGAAACTTTGGGATTTCCAGGAAAGCACTGAAAAATCTGCTTCCACATCTAACCTCCTTTCTTTGTGACAGAAAGGAAAAGGAGATGATGGAGCAGATTGGATACAATACACTTGCAAGTTGCTGTCTCCTGCCACTGTCAGATGGAGCCATCTAACTGCAGGAAAATAAGCTCAGGACTCTCACTGCTTCTGCAATATATAGCAATTCAGTGATAGTAGAAATAAAGTACACAATGAATATGATGTACCTGTATCACTCCAAAACTGTCCTCCGGGCCCTGTCCTTGGGGAAAGTGTCTTCCAGGAAAGCAGCCCCTGGTGCTAAAAGGCTCAGTGCTCTGGAAGTTGAGATGTGAAGTTTCACTGTGTTTTTAATTTTCATTTCCCTATTGATTATTATATTGAGCATCCTTTCATGTCTTTGGTGTCATTTTTAAATTTTGGAGGGAATTATCTATTTAAATATATTATCTAATTTAAGTTTTGATTTAACTTTTATTATTTTTTCTTCATTTTTTATTTTAAAAATTAAAAACAACTGACAAAACAACATTGAAGACAAAATCAAAACAACACAATAATTTCAAAAATGAAACATGATCGCAAGACAAAATGGTAGAAATTCACAATGGTTGCTATGTTACATGCCATTATCTTTAATGAAGTTGCTCAGTAAACTTTTATTATTGAATTATAGATATTATTTCTCTGTTCAAGTTATGAATCACTTAGATATCTAGTATGCAAAATCTTTTCCCAACTCTACTCATGAGTTTTAAACTTTATATACAATGACAATCACATATATGTATAGAAAATATATGTGTGTATATACATACAAACATTTGTATGCATTTACAAAAGCACTATATATATGTATATAAAATGACGTGACATTTTATATACATATATATGTATATATATATGTGGATTAAAGAAACATTGTGTTTACAACAGTGGTTCCATAAGATTATTATGAAGCTCCAAAATTATATCCCCTACTTTTTACCTGTACTTGTTCTAAGTTTACAATGTTTGAAAACACAAATATTCATTGTGTTATGCTTGCCTAGTGTTCCCAAGAGTAAATAATTTACCAGTCTGTAGTTTAAGAACAATAGCCTCAATGTGTAGTAGGTTGCACTATGTTTTCTTAAGTATATTCTGTCCATTTTGCACAGTGCTGAAATTCCCTAACATTCTGCCAAATATATCTCTGCCATTAAGTTCACATAACATACATGTAGTGTATAACGCGTATTAGGTTATATATACAGTACTATATAATGAGTACATAATGTATATGTATGATATGCAATATATAGCATACATTATATTATATGTAATATAATTCATCTACACTGTATATAAAATATATGGTGTGTATGGATTTTTTTGTGGTGCTGAATATTGATCCCAGGGTTTTTTCACTGAGATAATTCTCCAATACGTTATTTTTTGTTTTGAGACAGGATCTTGCTAAGTCACACAGGCTGGACTTGAACCTGCAATCCTCCTATTATAACCTTCCATAGTGTTGGGATTACAGCAGGAGCGACCACAGGTGGTTTATGTGTATCTTAATTTTTATACCCATTATCACCATGTTACTTTGTTTGCCTTCACTCAGGTTTTCTTTTTTTTTTATTTTAAAGATAAAAGGAGGGAAACATTAACAGACATACAACATTTTACAACATATCACAAGCACAATACAGACAATACAGAGTTACAAAC